AGGGGAGCCAATGGGGAGGTAAGCCCGAATACACAGCCACCAAGTGAGATAGGAGGAAATAGTTCTCCTTATTGCTGCCCTTCACCCACAAGAGGGAGCAGTGCGCCTCTTTTGGGTCATACCCCATCAAGCAATTTCAATCCCTAGAATGGGACTTCCTCACCCCCTTGCAGTTTGTGTAGGCTTTGAAGCCCACCAGGTGGTAGTATTTCTAGCCTGTTCTCGTCAGTAGGTGAATCCACACTATGACAGCACCTTCCTGTTTGACAATGACTTCCCAGCTCTGCAGCCCGATGCTCCGGATCCAGGTACCCTCAATCTCACCAGTGTTGGGGAGAAGGGAGACTGGATCTGTTGGGAGAACTTGTGCTGCAGAGTAATGCTCTTTTATCTCAGGACCCAGTGACCATCCTCTTTTTCGAGCAGAGGCGGCCAGAGGAGTTTGGTAACTATGGATTTCCCCTCTTACAACTCCAGCTAGGGTTGAAGACTAAGACCTGGGCTTGGACCCAACCCCTATCCCTCTGTCATCCCTTCTCCCCTCACCACCTAGTAAGGTCATGTGCTTCCATCCCTGGTCGGATGTGACACTGCCACTCATGTCAGTCCCTGAGATCCGAGCTGTCATCGATGCCTGGGCTTCAGTCACCGAGGATCTGGGTGCCCAGTATCCTTGGGTGCAGGTCTGTGAGGGGGGAGTGTGACTTTGGTTTGGGGGAGTAGCATTATTGCTTCCACAGGGTGTGGTCAGGAGGGGGTTGACTTAATGTCTCTTGATTATTAACTCTCTCTACTCATGCCCAATAGATCTTTGAAAACAAAGGAGCCATGATGGGCTGTTCTAACCCCCACCCCCACTGCCAGGTAAGTATGTATGTCAGGGGAGGTAATGGCGTTCTTGGCTGAGTCCATGCTGACACTGTGGACAGAACTAGATTAAGGGATAGGACAAAAGAAATGCTTTAGTAATGTGGAGGCTTAGAGATAACGGACTTGCTTGCTTCTCTTTGTTCTTGACAGGTTTGGGCCAGCAGTTTCCTGCCAGATATTGCCCAGCGTGAAGTGCGATCCCAGCAGAACTATCACAGCCAGCATGGAGAACCTCTGTTACTGGAATATGGCCGCCAAGAACTCCTCAGGAAGGTGGGAGAGTGCCAGGCCCTGTATCCTCAAGGAGTCTCTAGCCCCTTTACCCCCACAGTGCATGAAAGAGGGATGGACTAGCAGCAGTCATCTAAAGAAAGGTAGTGGTAGCTTAGACTGGGGCTGTAGCAGAAGTGTAGAGACTCAATCAGATTCTTCTCTTTTGCTCTCCCCCCACCCCCACATGCACAACTCATTTCCATTGTGTGTCTAGGAACGTCTGGTCTTATCTAGTGAGCACTGGCTAGTCCTGGTTCCCTTCTGGGCAGTGTGGGCTTTCCAGACACTACTGCTGCCCCGCCGGCATGTACGTCGGCTACCTGAGCTGACCCCTGCTGAACGTGATGGTAAGTATCCCAGGTAGGACCCTGGGACTGGGTGCTGGATAGAGTGACCCTAGTGGGACCAGCACCTATTCCCAGGCTGAAAGTTAGGCTCTGATTCCAGATCTAGCCTCCATCATGAAGAAGCTATTGACCAAGTATGACAACCTATTTGAGACATCTTTTCCCTACTCCATGGGCTGGCATGGTAAGGCTTTTGGTGGTGAAGTAGCCCCAACACTATTTCTGGGCTTCTAGGTCCTGGCTTAGGGAACTGAAGTCCATACCAGGCTTTAAAACATTTGGTGGCCTTAAAACAAGTGTCCAGCTGGGCAGTGGTGACACACGCCTTTGATCCCAGCACTCAGGAGGCAGAGGCAGGTGGATAGCTGTGAGTTAGAGACCAGTCTACAGAGTAAGCTCCAGGACAGGCTACAGAGAAACCCTGTCTTGAAAACCCAAACCAAAACAAAAGAAAAAACCCAAAACACAAGTGTCTAGAGCCGGGGTACTAGGACTGAGGGTGAAGTAATTTGGGGAAACTGTCACCAAGTACTAATGCTTGAGCTCCCTGGTGGAAAATACTGGGAACCGTAATATTTAGGTAACTGGACTAGTTTCGGGGCGGGGCCAGGCTGAAGACTTGAAAAAGGGCTTTCCCAATCAGTTCTGACTTTGTCTTGTCAGGGGCTCCCACGGGATTAAAGACTGGAGCCGCCTATGACCACTGGCAGCTACATGCTCATTACTATCCCCCACTCCTGCGCTCTGCTACTGTCCGGAAATTCATGGTTGGCTATGAAATGCTTGCCCATGGGCACCGGGACCTCACTCCTGAACAGGTCAGGGCTCAGGGCATCCTGGGTCTCCATAGCCCCTTTCACCTCAGTTTCTCAAGGGACCCCAACAGTCATGACCCTGAGGATCCTCATAAAAGTATAGGCATTCCTAAGAAGCTGGTTGCTGCTTAACTCCATCCTCTGGTGACTCCTGCTATCCTTGTCACCAGTCTTCCAATCCCATAAGCCTTCCTCAGTATTTCCTGGGCCCAGAACTCCATGCCATTCTTGGTGACCTTTGCTCTCCATGTTTTCTCCTTCTAGGCTGCAGAGAGACTAAGGGCGCTTCCTGAGGTACATTATTGCCTGGCAAAGAAAGACAAGGAAACAGCAGCTGTTGCTTGACCGTGATGATAGCAGAGCTTTGAATCTTTTTGCCTGAGAGAACTGGGACCTGGAATTTGGGCTGGTGTGACATCAATAAAACTGCATCTCAAATTTTAACCATGTTTTCTGACACCAGGGGAGTGTGAACTCTTACATTCTGGAGTCTTGGGGAAAGGCTAAGTGTGACTCTAGACACTCTTGCTTGCCTACAGATAGATGTTCAAAATGTAGGTAAGAAAGATCTGATGCAGATCCAATGGTACATAGCTGTAATTCCACCATACTGGAGGCTGAAGTAAGATTGTGAATACCAGGCCAGCGTGGGGTACCTAGCAAGACCTAGTCTCTGAAACCAAAGCCAAGCTGGGCCTGGTATTGCAGGTCTGTAATCCCAGCTACCCAGGAGGCTGAGCCAGGAGGATGGCAAATTCAAGGCAAGTCTGGGTAACTCATAGAGACTGTCTTGAGAAATAGCTCAGTGATACTCTGACATGTATCTGTTATTGTCCCCCGCTGGGGTGGGGAAAGCTCTACCTCTGAACTCTATTTAGTATTGTATCTGATCATCTTAACTTGTGATATGAACGTCATTCTAATTTTGGAGACTATTTTAAACTCTTTTGTTCTTAGCTTGGCAGTCTTTGGGAAGGCCAGTGCCCTTTGTATCTCTGAGTTTATTATTGCAAGTTCACCAAGCCTAGGCCTCAGAGCTTCGTGGGGAGAGGGTGAGCAGAATCCTACTCCCAGAGGTCAGTCCAGACGCTGGGCTGCTGGCCAGAACCCTGGTTTTGTGAGTGGCCAAAGCTAGACTCTGCTCCAGACCACAGGGGCTAAAGGGGCAGGCTGGGAGTGTGCATGTGGCTTGGTGTTCTTGGCTTCCTCAAACTTCTATGTGCAGTATATGTAATTTCAGTACTGTGCCTATGCTACAGTGTAGCACAGGGCAGAAAACAGTGCTAAGCATGGAGAGGGCAGCCAGTGTAGCCCCACTGAGTCTATCCTCCCCTTTCTGGATCTGTTTTCCCTTGTGTAGTGGAGGAGACCAGATGTCACCTAGTGTTCTCCAGACTCTAAAGCAAAGTTGAGAGTTGTGAGTGACATGGGGACGGCTAGAATGCCTTTCTTCCATTCTTTCCCATGGGAACTGAGTCTTAGGATTGAGAAGTCACGATAAACCTGGACAAGTGAATGGGCCTGGCCTAGAAGAACCGTGACTTCCTCTTCCTGCTTTCCAACCTAGGGCCATTCCTCCTGAGCCCTTGGAGGGATAAGGGGGTGCCTGGGATTGGGAATACTGCCAGGGTCTGGAAAAATCAAAGTAGGCATCTCTTGGGGCTCCCTGGGCAGGTGGCTGGTTTCTTACAAAATACATAAACACACACACCTTAACCTTGCCTGTATTTGGAGTCATCTGAGGAGTTTTAAAAACAGTACTGGGGTCTAGATGCAATGGACAGAGACTGTGATTTAACTGGCATGCGACGGAGCCCGACTGTTTTGTAAGTTCAGTACTCCCAAGTTTGAGAACTAGACCAACCCTCGGTTTCCCTATCTTATCTGGAGTCAGGGGCACCTTCAGCTAATGCTGTCAGCTACTCAGTGGTTCAGTGGGGAACCTGAGGCTGTGTGGGCAGCTGGGAGAGGAAGAAAGAGCCTGAGCACTTTTAGGCCTGCTGTGCCTGGGAGGACAGGTCTTCACGAGAGGTATGAGGAATGCAGTTTCAGGTTTTGTCCTAGGAATCCTACTCTGGCAGCCTCCTCTAAAGTTCCAGACGGGACAGGAAGTGTCCGGAGAGGTGGAAGTGATTGGCAGTTGGAGGCTCCAATGGGCCGAGAGCCCCCCCACCCTGTTCACCTCTCTCGTTCTATTGGCGCCTGGAGGAGCCGCCCCGACTGCGGGAGCCCAGCGCAGGAGGGAGTAGAGGCCGGGGCAGAGGGCGAGGGTGGAGGGCGCTGGCGGCGGGCGCCGCCGGCGGCTGGGACCCGGGGTTTGACTCCCAAGTCCTGCCAAGAGGGGGCGGGGCAGGGTGGTGTGTGATCTGAAAGGCGGAGAGTGATGATGGACTATGAGTGTGTCTGTGTGAGTTCGAGGCAGTGTCTGTGTGTGACGATGTCAGTGTGTGAGGCTCTGAAACTGGTGTCATCTGGTCTATCTGTCAGCGAACGTGCCTGCGTTTGAGAGCGATTGTAGCTAGGTCTGCTTGTGGCACAGCAGCTGTGGAATGTGTCTGTCAGCAGGCAATTATTGTTGTTTGTTAGAGGGGCTTTGACCACACCAGGGAGTGTAGTTTGGGAAGCTCTGTGGGGTCTTAGATTTTGTCTGCCAGTGTGAGAGTGGATGGCTGGGATTTTGTGTGATAATGTGTGACTTCAGAAGTAGAAGAGCAAGAGTGAGACTTGAGACTGCGGTGTGTCCTACATCCTAGCCTAGACCCTGTGGGAGTGAAGCCGTGTTCTTGTATTTGCGGACACTTCAGTTGTTGAGGGAGACTGACTTCTGTACCCAGCCTGCAGCATACACAGATCCACCCCCAGTGTGTATGGCTTTCCTTCCTCTACTCAAGATTTGATGAGGGCTGAGAATGCAGCTCACTGCTAACATGCTTGTCTAGTGTGAGCCAGGGCTCCCGCTCCAGTGCTGAGAAAGTGAGTCCCATCATTGGCCCACTGCTCTTACTTGAGAAGGGCCACATGGTATCCTAAGCCTCTGGATTGCTGGGATTACAGGTGTGGCACATCTGTTTTTATATGGTGCTGGGCATGGAACCTAGGATTTTGTACATGTTAGGCAAGCTCTACCGAGTGAGGCCCATCCCTAGGCCCCTGGTCTACTGGTATTTCTGTTTTCATGTCTGACTCAGTTTCTTTACTTTTCTTCCTCCGTCCCCGTGTTTTTCTTCCTGGAGAGATTTTTGTGTCTCTTTACAGCTTTTTTTACCAGGTGTCTCTGCTTTGCTAGTTCTGTCACCAAGCTGTCCCTCAGTGTCCCTCTGTTTGACTTCCAAGTTCACTCTTGTTTCTGGCCACACAAGGGCTTGTAACCTCTACATGATGCTAAGAGCTCCTGCGAGCTCCTGATGGCAAGGAGTCGCTTTTAGGGAGCATCGGGAATTCCCTGTACAGCCTCACACACAACATGCATGTCTTTGTATCAATAGGATCACTAGTAGACTGCGATGTGTAAATGTGTCTGGGTTTGAGTGCATGAGGGTGACTGTGAATGACTGTATCTACAACTGTAAGTCTGAGGGTAGCTGTGACTCTAGTTTATCTGGCATCAAGGGATCAAAGGCATTTCCTGGTGCTGAGGCCCCACGGTGGAGGGGGAGAATAGAAATGGCTGGGACTTCCAGGGAAAGGGGAACTGGACTCTGGCCTCTCCTTATATTCTCCAGTGTGAGGCCTGTTTTCCCCTGGAAACACAGCCAGCTGTGCCTGTAGGAAATATTTGTTGGAGAATGGAAAGAATAGGAATGAGTGTATGTGTGTGTGTGTGCTTTTTTATTGTGTCCACATGTGTTCAAGTGACTATCTTTGTGTTAGTTAACTGTACCTAGTGAGTGCTTGCGTAAATATCATTTTGGTGGCTCTGTGAAAGCACAAGAAATCTTCTAGCGACAGGGATATAAGCAGAAGCAACCCTCTTCTCCCTCTTGCTGGTCCTGGCTGTGTCTCTGACTTCCTTTTCCAACTTGAGGGGGGAGGCTTCTTCCCTTCCCAGGCCCTGGGGTGGGAGGGAATGAGAGAGGAGGGAAGAGGAAGGGGTGGGAGGAGGGGGCCTGGCTAGGGGTGGCTGGGCCCAAGGCCCAGAGGGGGCGGGGCAGAGAGTGGGAAGGAGGAGATGGTTCTGGGATCCCAGGACTGAGTGGAGAGGAGACAGTGCTGTAGCCTGTAGGAGGAAGTCTTGGAGGCCATGGACACTCAGCCACTGTGACAATCGAGGTAGGGTGTGGCTAAACAGGGTAAATGGGGCTGGAACACGGGGGTGGGCCAAGGGGACATTTGGGGTGACACAGATATGTGAAGGCCTTATTCTATTCTACTCTGGAGGGGTCTTCTGGCACTTTGACTAAGGCCTTGCCCTCTGCTCCTTCGTTACCTTCAATCTGCTGCTCATCTCCAACCCAGAGTCCTTTCTCTCAGTACTCCACTCTTGCCCTGTATGCAAATTTCTCAGACTTTGCGTTCCTGCTACCCCTACTCCAGACCTCGCACACAGCCCCCTGCCCCCACTGCCATTGCCTTTGGTCCTGAACACTTTTCTTTTCCTCCACTTGGCGCTGTGGCCCCCCACACCAGCTCCTGCTCCTGCAGACTCCTAGCTCCCCTCCCTTCCCCGCCACCCTGTCTCCAAGCTCCATCTCCATCTGCTGGCTCCTCGCCCGCTCTCAGCCTCTGGCAGCAGCCAGGGCATCTGGATCCGCTTAATTCTGCAGCCCTAGCCTGCACCCTAGCTCTATCCAGCCTCACAGGCTTGAGACCAACAAGATTTCAAGCCAGGCCCATCTGAGTGGCCCAAGAAGTCAGACCCTGGCCAGAGGCTTGGCAGCCAGAGCAGTGTCAGGCCCCATGTTGGGATTATAGGGTGCATCTGGACCTGTCATGCCAGCGCTCTAGCTTAGGGTGATGAGGTCTCATCCAATTTGCTGTATGTTGGCCAGAGGCAGTAATTAGCCTTGGTCAGGTTGCAGGTGAATGCCAGAATTCCCAGCAGCTGGATTGTATGGGTTAACAGGAGTGGCTGAGCCAGTGCCAGTCCTTGTGCCAGGGATGGGTGCCAAAGTGGTGTGTGTCTCTGTGTGTGTGTGTGGGGAGGGATGCTGGCAGAGCCTGTTGCCTCTGGCTTTTGTTCTGGGCCCTAAGCCCAGGACTGAGATGCGTGCGTGTGTGTGTGTGTGTGTGTGTGTGTGTGTACATGCGCGCGCACGCTCATGTGTGCATGCACATACACACACAAGGACAAATATCTATAGCACTGGATATATGGTGGGAAAGGGGACTTCAGATTAGAGTCCTCAGTCATTTCCAATAGCTTCTTTTCTCTTGATGCTTCAGTTTTCTCTAAGGAGGTCCCAGTTTTGGAGAGGATGAGCCAGGCTTTAGCCTCCTAGCTCATG